ATGCAAAGCATCTTGCTATTTAAAAAGTAAAAATGTAAAACAAGGAATTATAAAAAAATACAAGAACTTTAATTTTTAATGATTTGCCTAGTCTGTGGTAAATCGGTGTGCAACAGAAGATCTGAACAACTGGTCGAGCTCTCACACTGATAGCTTACGTTGTAGATAAATGGAATGGTTGCACACGCCGACACTATCATCGGTTGTGTGGAAAGTCTATCATATTCAGTGCTAAATCTAATTGATAAACTTTGCTTTTCTGATTATCCCGAACACTATCTATGCCAATGTAAACGAAGGCTGATCCCACTCCGCTAGTTTGATTTAATTGATATTGTCAGTCCCGTAGTTGTAGCATTCATTGTAACAAGTGTGACAGGTGTACACGGCGCCTCTCATATGATATGATTTTTTTTACAGTACTTCGTGTCACATAAACCTTCGAGATAATTTTCGAACAAAAAATGAGTTCATGCTTTTATAACCTAAACGCATGATGACTCAAATTTTTTTCCGAACGTAATTTTCAAATAACAGTGATTGTCATCGACCCAAGTTCAAAGCTTTCAATTAGAAAACGAACTTAATCCACAATTGACTGTATAAATTATGGCACGATCACAATACTTTTACTGGAAAATTCAGTACTGCTCGGTTTTGCGGGAGAATTATAAAGATTGTATGGGAAAATGTATGGAAAAGAATTCAGTTGCTTGTCAAAAATTCAAAAAATGCTAATTTTCACCAAACCAGATAATTAGATTGAGAAAACTATGCAGAACAGAACCAGGGTTTATCATGTAGATCATATGATCCGGAATCTTGAACGATTTAAAAGACTTAAAATATTGTATGGCCATGAGAATGGGTCTAGAATGATAAATCTAGATTTGATGAATATGACTAAGTATGGTATGGTAAGGGAAGACTAAGTTCTGACAATATCTAGGCACAAACATGTGATTTTTTTATGTCCATCACACCACCATGGGACATTTCAAGATCTGCAGTGGCAAAGCTTGCCAAAAACTGTCATTATGTTTGCACACTTTTGCCCCACCGATGGAGCAAAAGTTCGTTTTGAACACTGTTACGAAAAAATTGTTCTAGCTACAAATGAGCTGAAAATTTATCAAAACTGTGAGAGAAAGTTGTAGACCTTGAGCTAGAGGTCCTGTGTACAGAATTAGATTGATTCCAAATGCTTGGAGTTTTGATATATTTTAATGTTTTCAACTAAGGTCGAACTTATGCCCCACCTTACTCTACTAGTACTACTTTCCTGCTTAATTCCCATCCTGGACCACTGAACAATGATCTCATTATTATGAATGTGTCATCCATATCTGAATATTGAGTTTAAATAATGCTTAATACACTTATTAAAAGTGAAGTTACTTGTAATAACGCTATTTTTCCAATTTGTGTTTTTGTACAATTTTCGTGTACTCTAATTCGTCAAAACCTTTAATATACCGGTACATATCATGAAATGCATTTATAACTGCAACAACGTGATAACAAAATACGACAGGGCATCGTTTACTGGCTGTTGCTACGGGTATTGTGGATTGTACAGGTATCCGGTTCAAGCTTCAGTTGGCTGCGGCGGCGTCTATGTGATGTTTTGCTGTAGCTGTTGTAGACATCAATACATCCTTTTCCCTAAGAGAAGAGGTGACAATACGGGGGCGAAAATGAACCACTTTTCTGTCAAACGTGAACCAGCTCCTGATTGGTCGATTTCATGTGCGTAAGATAGAGATAGAGATAGATAAAGATAGAGATAGAGATAGAAATGAAAGAGGAAGAAGCCAATGGTCACCTCTTCCTTAAACTTGTTGAGGACGCGACCCCGACGTAGTGGTTAACATTCTTACCTCTCACGCCAAAGTCACGAGTTCAAATCTCACCCCCGGACAAGTCACGAATGACCCTAACACTCTTGGTGACTATAATAAAAAAAAAAAAAAACAAAAACTGATCTTCACAACATAAAGGGCACCGTTACGTGCTGCACAGTGGTCCAGAATACAGATTTAGGTGGAAGGATATGTTTTGCGTTCGAAATCAAAAATTTAGACTAAAAGTCTCTTGTACAAAGTTGCTCCTTATAGTTAGGCCCTTATTTTTATGACTATGAACTCTAGGGTTGTTCTTATTATCATTTGTTTGTAGAAATTAAGGTATACATTCTTCGGCAAAGTTATAGCTGAACTATATTCAAGGAATTTTATAGAAAAAAACACTTTTCAGAATCTCTTAAATTGACCGATTAAGAGCTATTTCCTTGAATTGAGTTAGGGTGTCTATAAAAAATCAGTAATTTGCTCTAGTTTTCTTATTTAAAATTTCTCAGCAAAGGTGTCATGAAATAACTTTTAGCACTTTAGAAGGCGCAAATTTTTGCTGCATAGAGCTTGTCGATATCTTTCACCGATCAAGAGCTATTGAGGTTTTTCTACTAAAAATATGCCTTTTTCAAATGTTAAAAAAAAACATTTTTTTACGGTATTTGAAAGGGCGTATGTAATTTTCAATAAAATTAAAAAATAAAGGTTTTTTTTACTATAATTGTGTATATCTTTTTTACTAGAAGAGATACAGGCAACAACTCTTGCTGTGCATCTTAAAGAGCTTTAAAAGTTTCATGAGAAATTTGAAATAAAAAAGTTATCGGCAAAAGATGGTTTTCATAGGACCACTCTAATGACAAATTTAAGTAAAATGTGCTAGTACATTTGTTTCAATATTTGGACATTTAGTGTCTTCGGAGAAGTTTTTGTGCTCAAAAATTCCCTTCTTTTGGTGTTTTCAAACGTCAGGGTGGTCCTCAAATAAGAGGATTTTTAAAAACTATCTTTTTTGTTTTACAAAATAAAGACATGTGTGGTTGAAAAAAGTTGTACCTGAGTTAATTTCAAGCAACTTTGTCGATGATATTTTTTCTATCTCTTAACGTTCTTGTTTTAAAGTCATTTTTCGGAGTTGACTTTGGGTGTTCCTGGAAAAAACTAGTTTTTTATCACTAACTTTTTTTATTTCAAATTTCTCATGAAAGTGATCTTCTAGAGACTTTTAAAACTCTTTAAGACGCATGTTTTATAGCTGAAGTTGTTGTCTGTATCTCTTCTAATAAAAAAGATACACACAATTATAGCGAAAAATATGAATAAATTCAAATTGATTTCATTCGAGTTTAAAAAATAACAGACCATCATATCATTAAGAATAACATACGCCCTTTCGGCACTAACGATGATCCGAAAAGGCTGTCAAACACTTCTTATGGTTATTTTCTAATCCACCGTGGTCTTTAAAACTAGCTAGAAAAATTGTCATATGCGGTCTGTTACTCATAATTAATTATATCTTAACTCATGCGTATGATTAAAAAACTGTGAACTGCAAAGTTTAAGGACATTAATTGAGCTTTTCGTTAAAAATATTTTAGTTTATGAATTGCCCAGCAAATACACATTGTCAGTAGGTAGCACTTTATCTAAACTACAATATAGATACACAAAAATAATTTTAAAAAATATGCATTTGGAGTAATTTTAATTTTGTAAAAAATAAAATATTTTTTACAGTGTATATTTTTTTATTGAAAGGCACAATAGAGATCTCCAAGCGCAATCTCACGAACACTTAAGTCCAACGTTCATATATAAAAATGAAGAAGAAGAAGAACCAAAAAGGTATCGCGATATCACAACTACTTAAAAAGGTAGCGCGCGGTCTCACGCACACTTTTGTGCATCTGGAGAACTCTATACATGTCCGCAACTTCTTCGAAGACACCACCTCGATCAAACAAATCGTTCGCGAGATATATGTTTTTCTATTGATGCATATAATTTTTGCATAAGCCCTTTTCAAGTGTTAGTCGTGTACAAAACTAGGGAACCATATATGTAAAATGACATGTTGGACAATAACAAACAACTGTGTAAAATAACAAGTAGTTCTAAAAACATCGATCCGAAACGATTTGCGAATCTGTGTGGAACTGCTCATTTATTCTATTTTGATACTAGAAATCCTCCGGATCGGCAACGAGCTAGCAAATTTCAGCCCCATGTCGTCATGGATTTGAAGCAAGTATCATTGTTACGTTTGTTTTACAGCGCTAGCATTCTCACAGTTTATATTTTAATATAATCATGTCTCCAACTTTACGAAGTAGATTAAAGAATAAACACAAATATCGATGATTACGTGTTTTGCTCTAGCGTTCATTGAGTTATTTCACTACCACCAAGTTAAATTGAACTACGGAGCTGCACAACTGTTTTCGGTAAAATTTCCGGCCCTTCCGGTAAAATTTGACATTTGATAATTCTCAGCAGTTTACAGATCATTCGGTTTACCGAAAATATTACCAAGCGCTCAGCAGTTGAAATCTCGGTAAAAAATTACCGACTTCGAGGATATTTTCCAAGAATAATGCTCATGTGTCGCTGATTTGAATACATTCAGATGAGCTCGGAATCAACACGAAGAAGAAGAAGAAGAAGAAGAATAACCCCTCGCTACGACGCTTGTAAGCTCCACAACCGGTTTACCGGTTTTTATATCTCATCCTTTTTATAATTAGGCATTATACAGATTTCACTTAACATCACAAACTATAGATGGACATAAGCAGGGTTGCTGACCATTAGATGAATGATATTTTGAACTTGCAAGATACAGAAAGAGGCGGTAAAGTATGTGGTTGACGTATAAAATCTGTCAATTTCACATTCCCAAAAGTGTTGAAACGACTATATTTAAAAAAAAATATATCAGAAGTGTTTGAACATTCACTGATATTAAAATTATGACTATCTGAAAGTGAAATTGACATGTTTCATGTGTCATATACATACTTTACAACCGCTTCTTGTAACTTACATGTGAAAAAAAGCATCATAACAACTAATGATATCAGAAATCTGGAAATAAATTGCTATAGCAAATGAATGGCAGCAACCTTGTATAAGCATGTAAGAATGGACAATTTGCTACCACTTAGTCCCTTCAACGCTGGCGTAACTTCATCACGAAAAGCACTTGAAACTAATCTTCAGTCCATCGAAATACATTACATCCTAGCACAATAACTTCTCCAGCCAAAAATAAATACCACACCAACGCAAACGCCCATATACTGAGGTGGATGAAAGTTTGCACACTATTGAGTCAACTCCATGTGCCTTCCCCAAAATCCTATTAACCAAACAAAAAAACAACATTGTCTTTCATACCTATGGCGATGGCAACGTGCACATTGAATAGCAATGGCCACACCGCCAATGTACTTAGCGAAGAACAGTTGTGGTAGCTTCTTTACGTGTTCCAGCGCGGTTCATCACCACATCACCTCAATATACCAGTCAGTATTCAACCTTCAGGCGGCGTGAATGCAGCGTTTCTGTTACTAGTCATTCGCGCCCTCGAGCATGCAGACGGAAATCGGAGCGTACACTATAACAGTACATGTGTTTACCGACCAGTGGCAAAGGCAAAAGTTGCAAAACCAAAATATTGAACTATTGATAGTTTGCCGGCGGTCACTAACTGTGTTGTAGCTCTCGATTCAGTGGTGTACAAGTTCACGCGAGTTGTAGTAGGTGGGAATAGAATGCGTGCTTCGAGCTTACTAAAATAGAGAGTCTATTGAGCCGATCCAGCGTGCGGTTGATAAGGATTATTGTAAAATAAAATATCGACAAGTCAACCGCAAACAGACCATTATTGGGTTGGATCGTACTGATAGGCTAGACAACTGGCTTGCATCCGAGGGTGATCACTTCGATGGATTATTGATGTGCAAACAGAATCTACAAAAACGAAAAACACGTCATCTATATCACCGTAGTCAGGAAGTGAAGTGTGTGGTTAAGATTGAATTTGATGACGTGTGATGCGAAAATGATTAGTATCAGAAAAAACTATTTGCAGAGATTTAAAGTTTGGGACCTTACTATGTCTGTGGGAAGAAATAGTGAAAGATCTAACTTTTACAATTCGTACAGAGAGTATAATTTCAGTCAGTGACAGTGACCTTCAATCAGTAATGTTGAATCTTGTTCCTAGAATGGATCAAGATTCAATATTTACAATACGTTTAAAAATACACCACACAATCAACCTGAGGATTAAGATTAAGGTTCTACGCTCTATTTAGCTACAGCATACGCCAAGGAATACAGGAAGAAGCCATCATTTCTCACCATCAAAAACATTGGCCACCAGGGCGAGAATGTTAGTGCACTTCAAGAAGAAAGCACATAAAACCAGAAAAGGATATAAATTCTAAGTATGTTGGCAAGTACCGTGAAGACATTAGACGGTATGGAGCCAACTGAAACGACAACAATGCGTGTCTTCGCCGATCGCGTAACGGTCATAAACGAGGACCTCTTTATATGGGCCATCATCGACGGGGTGCTAATGATTTGCATTCTGAGTGGCAACATCCTCACCATCCTAGCTGTGCGTTATCACCGGCGGTTGCGATTGTTAATTTCAAACCTGTTCGTGCTATCGTTAGCTCTGTCGGACATATTCGTTGGCTTGACGCTGCCGTATCATCTTGCTTTCTACATGGGAAACGAACTTGGCCGGTATAAACACTTCTGTTTGTTGCGATTTTTCGTCCTGATTATCGCGTGCAGTGTGTCCATTTGGAACCTGATTGCAATAGCCGTGGACAGATATATCGCCATCTGCTACCCGCTGCACTATGCTCGGTGAGTAAGATTGATAGAGTTGTTGTTGACTTCAATCCACAAGGTGTGTCTCCGTGATTCTAAATTGTCAATAAATTTAATATACTACAAATGCACTTATGCACAAAACATAATTTCTTATTGATTATTTAACCGTTATATGTGCGACGGGGTATCCAGGCCCCAATTGAATGTCACGGTGTAGAAAAAAAAAAAAAAAACGAAAAAATCCTCACAGAAGGGTTAAACTACAGTTATCACTCTGGTTTCAAACTATGTTGGTGCCAGTTCGCGTACGCCTACCAAGAAGCTCGATTATATCACTTGAACTATCCATTTTCGAACCAAGGCCTAAGCGACAATTTAGCAGGAACGAAATATTTACACCGTTGTTTATTTATCGGGAAAATGGATTTTGTAACATAAAAACGATTAAATGCTCCATTAACGTTAGGAAAACGCACATTTACTTTCTACCGATAAACCTGAAATACCATTTAAACTTGTACAAACAAATGCTTTTTTAAAATATGAATTTAGTTTTTTAATTACATGTTTAGTTTATTTTTTAGAAAAATTAGATTAAAAATGCAAATGATCTATTCTGGGGAGAAGTTGATTATGTAGGTTTTTATGCAATGCAATATCCAGAAGTTAGCATTTGTACTTGATTTTTGGTTGCTGAAGAAGCATCTGGTGTAAACATTTATTCAAAAGTTGTGCATTGCGAAAAAAAAGTTGCATTTGTCGCAAAACAATCAAAAATACGCCTAAATCTAGGCAATGTATATAAGTTTTTTACATAAATCTTTTTTATCTGATCAATCTGATTTCAGATTCGGATGCAGCGACCCAAAATAAAGTAAAATAAGTAATTTTGCCGAATACAGCACTTGAAAGAATTCTGTTAACTTCCATGTTCTTCGAGGTCAATTTTAAAGTGCCCAATGTGTCATAAGTTCATAAACCTTAAAAACTGCACTTTTTTTTTAACTTGAAGTTTTAACAGTTTTTTGTTGTATTTTTTGACATTGCATAAGTCATCACTTCCATGTTCTACGAATTTATTAAATTTATTTAAAGTGTCCAATGTGTTCAACATCAAAGTTAGCATTTTTGGTAAGCTTTCAAGTAAACAAGTTCAAAAATCTTGAACAGTTTATCTTTACATTTTTTTTACATTCTTTGACAAACATTTGTGTTTTTTTTTCTGAAAAGACAATCCAGTTACCTACAACTTTATCTCAGGCGTCATTTCGATTAGATGAGCCATTGTATACCGCTATCATAGGGTTGGTAGGTCGCACGGTCCACACTCTGTGTGTTTGACGCGATCAGGGCATCGACGGGATGTGTACAATGGTATACAAGTTTAAAACAACAAAACAATAACAAAATCGAAAAGAGGCAAAGACCCTAACGATGCGGGAAATATGTACAAGTGGTCCCCGAAAAAGTGACGGATACTTGAACAGAACCACACTTGTGGTAGCAACAAAAGCTTTTATACCATTGTACACAAACCTATAGGTTAAGGTTCCTGTTCATCGGTCTTGGTGCTCCAGGAGAAGAGAGAAAAGATCGTTCTTCTCCCACAGGCCTCATCGAACTCGCCAAACCCACGAAGGAGAGGGCCCCGTGAAGCCAATTGACGGAGCAAGTCGGAATTGAAATTGGTTCGACAAATGTAACCGTCCGGGAAAATTCAACAATAGAATAAGGAAGAAAGGTAGTTTTCACGAGTTTCATCGAAGCAGGTGGTTTTCGCGTGTATTTGAGAAGCAGCCTTGAATTCTGTTTCCACGCAAAAATCGTGATCGTGATCGTGCGGTGGCTAGTATAGACGTTTCCTGCGGATGACTGCATACTGTGCAGTAGCACTGTGTACTCTGTTGAGTAATCCTAACGGATCTCCTAGGTGTCCTTGAAGGACCAGTGAAGTATCGTAGTGTCGCGAATACCGGCAGGCGAGAACCCAAAGGAAACCGAGGGTATGATTACACCGGTAGAAAATGGTTCGTGGACATTATAACGTCGAGTGATAAATTCTCGAGTGTCGCTGGTTACGCTGATGCGTTCCGAACCGTAGACGACCGTTGTCAGTACGGAGGACTGATCGAGTTACTGGGTGCGACGTTTACCGTGAAAAGTGATATTAAGTCAGACCTTGGGAACACAGCTTTGTCCAAAGTGTGAACTCAGTCTGGAGAAGAAGAAGCAACCGGCTATTGTTAGCAAGGACATAAACCCCGGCAGGGAGCTTCGGCGAATACCGACGCCGAAAAACAAACAAAAAACATGGAAGAATGGCCGGAAAGTGGGAGCAGAGGCAAAGAAGTGGTACGTCGGCGGAGTAGCAGTGAAGCTGAGTTACCCCAGCGGTAGTGCACGTGCGTAGTACCTTTACCGACTGAGCTAAGGGAAGTCGCACCTCCGAAAACGCTTACAAAACCGTTTGACCACGAATTTCGTGTCGTTCCTGGCATCTGACAGTTTTCTAATCGCTTGTTGTGGATGGAGTGGAAATATTCCGATTGTACGGAATCCAGAACGTACATTTTCAGTAGCCTTATCGAGTCTCTCAACAATCTTCTTCAGAAGACCCGGGAACAAGTGTTTTGGTACTGTACCAGAAAACTTCACCTTATACTCCAAAAGAACAATTCTCCTTTTGATTTTCAACGGGCGGAAGGATGCCACATCAAGCCGTTGGCAAAGATGTGTGCTATTTGGTGGAAGAAATACGAATCTTATGTTGTATTCCTTGCATTTTTGCAACACTCGCATGACTTACAAAATTATTCCCGATTAGAACTTTCGCTGTTTGAAATTCTTTGTCATCGTGCTTTTCAAAATGTGAATGTGCCACCATAAAAACCAGTTCTCAAACAGATCGGTTTCGAACCAACCACTTTTTGAGCATCCGTAAACAGTGCTTTGAGGTCCTCCTGTGATCCTGGTGTCATACAAAAATCGACTTTTGTAGACAACAAATGGAGGCAATAATATACCCGATGCCGTTCCAGCAAACATCACAAAAGTACTTGTTTTTATGGAATCGAGGATTCGCTCAGCATGCTTTGAATAATTGAATAATGACATTTGACCGTCCAGGATCAGGATCCAGGATAAATATATAAATAATAGCATATCAACTGTTGCAAATCCGTAAAGAGACATATATCAGACAAGTTGATTTTAGCAGAGCAATAAAATGTATTAGGTATTTATATTCTTTTTACAGAATGTTATCCATGGTGCAAACTAAAACCTGGGACGTAACCGATGTTGGTATGGATTTATTCTCATTTCCTTACATTAACTTGCGGTTTCCCAAGTCTAAATTTGAGCTGAATAATCAAGTGCATTGAATAGGATTTTTGATCTAATTTCCGTCCTACTAAGCACAACCCGCGCTTTACCTCTATTTTTTGAACGGGTTTGATAAAAAATGGAATATTTCTGTCAAAGATGACTTCTAAATTTATTCACCTTTCCATACGTACCGTTGGATTTGATAAAGAGTCACAAATTGTTAAGGTATTGTTTAAAATCTAATACTGCTTCTTGATTCTAAATTTGTCCAACGAGTTTCAATTCCATTCTAGCGCATTGAAACCCCTTCTTTTTTTTTTCCTCTGTTCGAGATTTAACACTACTGCGACCAGTAAATTGATCTATTGTAGTATATCCCGTGTCCTTAGTTTAGTGCATGTCGTATTACTCCATCACCGATTTTTTTTACAATTGCCACTCTTGCATTTATCGCAAGGATCCGACTCTAATTGAAAGGTCCCGCTATTTATACCCTTCGGAGTGTTGAAACACCCTCCAAAGGCGCGCCTCTTTGTCAGTCAAAATTGGATTCCTTAGCAACAAAATTAAGGTATGACACCGATAATGACTATGCATCAGAACCCTAGTCTTAACCACTTCAAACTAGGGAACAACGAATAGAAGATTAGGAATCACATAGATTAAGACAACTAACTCATTTTTTTTCCTTGTTTCAAGATCATCCTCGGTAGACAAAGCTGAGTCTTGTCACTATCAGCAAGGCATAAAAAGTAACAAGGACTAAGATGTGTTCCTTGGATTACTGAAAAATTCTATTCCCCTAGTTTGAAGTAGTCAGGACTAGGAACCGGTGGTAGATCTTACATCCCGTAACGTACCACGAAAAGGTGATCTACCTACGTTACGGGGTGAAACCCCATTAGTCCTACGGTTAAACATAGAAAAAGGGGATTCGCTAGGAGCGATTCTTTTGTTTTGAGAACAATGAGCATAAATATTCATACAATGTGCTCTAATAGAATTTATGTTGTAGCTAATGAACTAACGCATCGGAACAAACCTATTATTGATTTGTGCACGATGAAATCATTGATATTATCGATCTTTTATGATCGATGAAACGAAAAGAGTGTAGCGGCACCGGTGGTGTAGTGGTTAGCGTGATCCTGGGTTCAATCCCAGTCGGCGCCGCCGGGATGTTCTGATGCATAACATCACTGATCACGCCTTCCTAGGCGGTAGTAAAGCCGTTGGTCCCCGGTTCATGAGTTGATGGGTCCATAGGTAAGGGTTCAGGTGTGGGAGCTGCCTACCTGGCGTCTGTAGCATTGGAAAACAACATCGACGGATAATAAATCAAGGAAAAAACAAATAGAGTGCAAACAATACATACGTGATGACAGGTGTTGATGTTTATATTTATTTTCACTATAAACGAACAAAAACAGCATATTATCAAGTGTTGCAAGTGCGGCGCCGATGCTGTACTGGTAAGTGTGATTGCCTCTCACCCTAAAGGGTTCAATATCAGTCGGCCCCGCCGAGATTTCTGATCACGAATCTGATCTCCGGAAGAGAAGTAAAACCGTTGGTACCCGGTCCACGAGTTGATGGGTCGATAGCTTGGATCCAGGTGTGGGAGCTGCCTTCCTGATGTCGGTAGCATTGGTACTCAGTACGGAAAACAAATCAAGGAAAAAAAATAGCTTCGTTTGACGGTTATC